CTGACATTCTGTGACTTATCTACATCATAGGTGATCACTCAGGTCACAGCTAACTCTGACATTCTGTGACTTATCTACATCACAGGGGCTCAGGGCACATGCCTTTGAGTAGACAGGATGGAATTGTTAATATTCCCATGCTTGTGTCCACACCAGCCAACAGGATATGGGATTTTTGGAAAGAGCAGTAGAGTATGGCTATTTAATTTTTATACAGTGAAATGCTTGACTCGAGGTCATGAAAACTCAATGAGATTTAGCAAGCTGTTTTCCCCAATCTAAGAAATGCAAATTTTAGTGGTTTACAGAGGAGCAGTTTGTTTGTTTACCAATGTGACAAGACAACAAAACACATTGGACTTAAAATTGCACAAGAAGCAATTCAGATTCCCATCGGACCTGTGGATTGAGTGGAACTGGAAATCGTCCTCAGCTTCCAGGACTGAGCTGCCCAGAGCTAAAGGAATCACATATTTTGTAGAAGAGCCTGATCACGTTTCAAAAACAGGCATTTAAAACTTGAATCCAAAAGAAATGCAAACAGTTTAATCAACTTTATCCATTTCACACTTTTAGAAGAGATCCATGCTTTTGATGAATATGAATTATGCTTTAAGTTTCTGTGGCAACTTTTGAAGAATAAATGAATTATCAAGCCAAAATTGTGGCTTATTTTCAAGAGAACTAGATTGAGATGCAAATAAACTATGCTAGACAGCAGCACTTATAATTGGAGACCTGGTGGCTCAGTGGTTAAGAGCTTGGCTGCTAACCAATAGATCAGCACCACCAGCCGCTCCTTGGAAACCATATGGGGCAGTTCTACTCTGTCCTATAGGGTCACTATGAGTTGGAATCAACTCTCTAGTTTTTTTTTCTGGTTGGGCAGCAGCAAGGCATTGCCTCAAATTTTGGAAACATAAATCCCAGAGCTATCCTGAAGCTGTTTTGTTTTTTTTAATTGTACTTTAGAAGGGTTACAGAGCAAACTAGTTTCTCATTAAACAATTAATACACATATTGTTTTGTGACATTGGTTGCCAACCCCATGACATGTTAACATGCTCCCTTTCTCGACCTTGGGTTCCCCGTTACCAGTCTTCCTGTCTCCTGCTATCCTGAAAGTTTTGCTCTGTAAGCTGTCTTTGAGTCTACACAGCTCTGTGAATGAATTTTTTTTCATGCAGTTTCTAAATGAACACTGAGAGTCATCGTCAGTGAATCTGAATTAAGATGAGCTTGGCATTTGCGAAGTACTACTATGACTATGCACTCTGAATGCATAAAGTTGATAAAATATATTTTATATTACTTTTGAATTATATTTTAAAATCCCTGTTTTTAATAGGGACCAGGCTATAATTCAATTAACAGCAAAACTTATGCACAAATTTCTGATTGCATTATCTTACTGTTTTTAATGGCATCTTTAAATACATTTTATTTATATTTAATAGTTAATGTGTGTTCTGATTACATAACTTATATCGGCAAATTAAAAAATATAGAAACATGTAAAGGAATAAAATAAATATCAAACCTAATGAACTTTACTAGGGTACATAATTCATTTAACAAATACGTCTTGAACCGTTACTGAGTTTCAGCCACTAGGCTAAGTGAGAGTCTATAAAGGTGAAGAACATAGATACAACCCTTGCCCTCCCTCACTGAACATGGTCTAGTGAAGGATTCAAGGTAAACTGGAGAAGTAGGCAGGACCCGGGTGCTAAAGGACCTTGAAAGCCTCAGCAAGGTTTTGAGGCTTTATCCCGAGGGTCACAGAATGCCTTTGAGTATTTTAAAGCAGAGTGGCGACTTGATCCGATCTGCATTTTGTAAAGATCACTTCTGCTCTGTGGAGAACGGTTTGGAGGGAGGCAAGAGTGCACGCAGTGGGACCAGCGTAGAAACCCGGATGGCCTAGGGTGGGGCTGGTGAAGATAAGGAAAAATGGGTGGATTCGAGAAATCCTGTGTTTAAGGAGGTAGAATCCACAGAACTTGGCAATAGATTCATGTGACAAGTGAGGGAGGAATGAGGTATGACTTTAGGTTTCTGACTTGGAACGAGTGGGTGGATACCAGCGTCGTTCACTGAGCCTGGGGAACACATGAGGCAGAAGTTTGGCGGAAGGAGAAGACTGCGTAGGAAAACCAGTATTTAAAAGACAAGGTGAATGAGGGGGTAAAGAATAGATGAGGGCCCCCAGTTTGGGCCGAGGGACCGGCAGCGTTGGGCACCAAGCCTCCCGCGCCCTTCTCCTTGCAAACCATGCGGGCACCTAACTAACGCAGGAGGAAGAAGACCTCACTCGGCGCTCAGCCGGGGGTCTGCGCAAAACGACTGGGCCTCGTGCACCGAGTCTGCGCAGTTGTGGGAATTCAGGCCTGTGGGATTCCTGCCTCCGCATCTCTTGGAGTACCGCCAGGCCGGCAAACACTACTTTTTCACGCATCCCGGGGCCCCGCACTCTCGCCCCGGACGCCGCGCCCCACCCATCCCCGCCCCTTCCGTGTTTTGGTAGCACACGGGTTCCGTCAGACGCAGCGGCGATTGGCTGTCGCTGGCCGTCGCTCAAGCTCCCTCCCCGGAGATGGTCCGGGGTGAAAGGAGAGGTGTAACGACCCGCGGGCGGAGGGACGGTAAGTTAGAGCTGCCGGGTTGGCCGGGTCGCCGTTTGGGGTGCTCTCTGTGGCGGCTGCAGAAAGTCAGGCTCTTCAGGAATCGCCTTGGCGAAGCTTCCTCTTGCAGCACGGCCAGGCTTTCTGCTCCAGCGCCTGTAGTGCCCCGGTCCCCTAATCCCGACTCGAACCTCCCTGCTTTCTTGTCTGGGGGCTGAGCTGCTGCCGAGACACGGGCACCGCCACGCCTTAGGGGAAAGGATTCCGGAAGCCTGCGGGGCTGCAAGTGAGAGGTTTCACCCGCCCAGACGGTCTCCTTCCTTCTCTTCGAATTCTATTTGTCCTTCAAGGCTTGGCCCGAGCCCCGCCGCTTAGGGAGAGCCTTCTCTGTTTCGTCTGCCCTCGGGGATTTCTCTTTCCTGGTCTACCTCATCGGGCGCTTTGTTTTGGTGGTTGTCTTCTTGCGTCAGAGTCTTATCTCTTGGGCCAAATTGTGAGTGTTTAGGCTTTTCAGGACCGAGGCCCCTCTTTTTCTCGAATACCATTCAGGGTCCATTCCGTGTCTTGCGTTACAACATATACTCCCTTTTAGGTTATTTGCGAACTACTTCTTACTTTGATTCCTGATGCAAATAAGTGTTAGAGATGCCTTAGGTTGTACTTCTGTTGACTTTTTTTTTGCAGAGTTGGTGCTTAGGTCATCTAACCCTTAGAAGCAGAGATACTAACTGCTAACACTTGTTGAGTTCTAGCAATGTGTTATGCTAGGTATTTTAATATCCATTATCTGTTTTAATCCTTAAATCAATTCAATGAAATAGGTATAATTTTTCCTATGCCACGTTGGGGAAATTGAGGCTTAAGTGATTTGCCCAAGGTCAGGTAGCTAGTAAATGTTGGAGGTTTCTAACTGGGTGTGCTGAATCCGACACCAAAATAGCTAATTCATAAAATGTGTTCTGGTTATTGTGTGTACAGATATGATGACTATGAAGAGGAGGGAGTCAGACAAGGAGAGGTAAGACAAGCAGATGTAGGAATCAAAAGGGAGCCAAACTGCCTGGGTTTGAGTTCTGTCTCCACTTCCTAGCATTGTAACCTTGAGTAAATTACTTAACCCCCTGAGCCCATTTTCTCGTTTGTAAAATGGAGATAATAATAGTACTTACCCCTGCTACCGATCATGGGGATGGCGCAGGACCGAGCAGCATTTTGTGTCATTGTGCCTGGGGTTGGAATGAGTCGGGGACCCACACCGTGGCTGCTGACAGCACCAACCTCAATCGGGTTGTTGTATTAATTAGTTTTCATAAGTGTCAAACTCTTAGAGCAGTGTTTAGCATATAGTAAACACTTAATAGATGTTAAATTATTTTAGGAAGAGCAAAATCATTGAGACAGGAAACTTGAACAGAGCCAGCTGGCCAGGTGCCCTTTCCAGTGTACAAGTTGCCTCATTTGCGTTCTCTGCCTACAGGAGGACTGGTGACCCTATAGTCTCTGCCCGACAGCTCTGCAGGGTCGAAACAGGCTGGCGCAAGGAGAGGAATTACAGAAAGTTGAGAGACAATGAAAGAGGGGGTCAGGGAGCTTTGCCTAAGTTTCAGGTCATTCTAGATCTCTAATTGGCCTGCATCCTGGGTCTTGCCATAGTCTGACAATGCGGATGCATTTAGAATATTTGTGCTCAGCATTATGCCTGGCCCAGGATAGGGACAGAGACGGGTGTAATAGAGATTCTGCTCAGAAGCAGCTTATACTCCAGTTGGATAATGAGAATGGAACACATAAAATGACCATGAGTGACCATGGACAGCATAAAATTAGGGGTGAGATTTTATGGTGTCAACTATGCAAGCCATAGGAACAAGAAGCAAGAGTAATCACCGAGGGGTGGGGTAGTTTAGCAAGTCTTTCTGGAATATGATCATATTCTGATATTTATTGGACATCCCAGGTGTACAGAGCTCTGTGCTGATGCTGGGAATAAGAAGTGAATAAGTGACCAGCCCTGTCCTGAGAAGCTCCTAGTTTAGGGGAGACAGACATTCCATTCCACTGTAAAAATACAGGTGCATACAGAGTGCTGTGGAGGCAGGAGGTGGGATTTTCCAGCTCTGCCTGGCTGAATTGGGAAAGAGGTTGCCAAGAATGGGACATTTGGGCTTGAAGGGTGAGTAGAAGTTGCTCAGGCAGAGAGTTTTAGAAGAATGTAGTGGAGCCCTGGTGGTGCAGTGGTTAAGAGCTCAGCTGCTAACCAAAAGGTCGGCAGTTCGAACCCACCAGCCACTCCTTGGAAATCCTATGGGGCAGTTTTACTCTGTCCTGTAGGGTCGCTATGAGTCAGAATCGACTCAACAGCAGTGGGTTTTGGGTTTAGTGTGATCAGGGACAGGGATGATTGAATCAGAGGAAGCCAGAGAAGCAGCATGGTGTGGGGGAAAGAGCCTCATCTTTGTATTGGAATCGGAGCACCCTTATACCAAATGAGATAAAGTGTGCTGAGGGCTCACCACAGGGCTGACACACAGTAGGCCCTCAGTATGTTAGCATCTTTATCCAGACCCTGGAGAACCTGAACGGAGCTCCCTTTCAATTAGAATTTGAATTTCTAACAAGTTCCCAGGCGATGCTAATCTTGCTGGTTAGGGACCAATTCTGAGAACCACTAGTAGAGCAGTGGTTCTGAAATTTTATTATACATAAGAATTACCCGGGGATTTGTTAAAAATGTAGATTCTGATTCAGTATATCTGGAGTGGAAATGCATATTCTCGGCATGGGTTCAAGCTGGAACGAACCAGTTCAAAGCCTTACAGTGAGGCCCATTTGAGAAGTGGACTTGATCCTGCAGGTAGTAGGAGTCAGAGGAGGTTCGGGTTTTTATTTCTGCCTTGGGAAAGCTTTCCCTACTTTCCCAGCCGAACATGATAAAAGCAGTCAATATTTTCTCCTAATAGGACTTCACTGTTGGCCTAGGGGGCACCTAGCAAACCATTGTACACCCCAGAGTGTCAAGGGTGACTGGGACTCTTAAGGAGAGGAAAGGCTAAGGATTGAAGCGGGGTTTCTGTGGTCAGCACTTAGGTATTACACATTGCCGTCAAGTTGATCCCGACTCATAGCGACCCTCTAGCTCAGAGTAGAACTGCCCCATAGAGTTTCCAAGGAGCAGCTGGTGAATTCTAATTGTCAATCTTTTGGTTAGCAGCTGTAGCTCTTAACCACTACGCCTCCAGGGTTTGCACTTAGGTATAGTAGGTTCAAAAGCCTGTACTTGTAGGCGTGGATATTATGCTTGTTGTATTTTCTGGGTTTTTTTTTTTCCCCTGTCAGTATTTAGTAAGAATTTTTGCAGAGTTCGTATCTGTCTTAGGTAGGCCGAAGGGAGGAGTGCTCCACCCTCTTCCAGGGTTCACCATAGTAGGGGTAGCAGGAATCAGTGACAATCCCCAAGGAGAAGGTGACGCTTAGGGGACAGAGTCAGGGCCTCTTAGTGTCTCCTCTCTCCCTCCAGAACTTCTGCTTGCAGTCATCCTCTGCTGCTTCATGTTTTGTTTTAATGAGGGAAACTCTTCTTTTATTCCAGTGTTCCTCAGAGTATGCTCTTGGAACTGTCTGCGACAGAACTACCTAGGGGCTGAGTTAAAAGGGCAGATGTCTAGGCTTGACCCCAGCCTTCCTCAATCTGGCGTTCTAGGGGAGGGGCTGCGGAAATCTGCATTTGTATGCATATTGAAAATTGAGACCTTTTAGTTTTTCATTCAGCTTTCTTCAACAAATGTTTTTCACATGCCTAAGCACTGTATGGAGCCCTGGTGGCACAGTGGTTAAGAGTTCGGTTGCTAATCAAAAGGTCGGCAGTTCGAATCTACCAGCCTCTCCTTCGAAACCCTATGGGACAGTTCTACTATGTCCTATAGGAACTATGAGTTGGAATTGACTTGATGGCAACAGGTTTTTTTTTTTTTTTGGAAGTACTGTATAGGCACCAGAGGTACTGTGTAAGGTAGACAGCTCTGATCGCTGCATTCGTGGAGCTTACGTTCCAAGGAAATCTACATTTTTGCCCAGAGGGTGTTAGGGAGTGGTGGAATAAACAACTGGACAGGTAAGGCAAAGACTGATCATGTGGCACTTGGACAGTTTGGCAGGGGAGTTATGACATGATGCAGTGGGAAATAAGGGGCTTCTGGGCAAATGGGCAGGCTGTGTAGAGTAGAAAGAATATGGACTTTGGAGTCAGCCAGACCTGACCCTGCTACACCACTGGTGTGTAGCCTTAGGCAGGTTGGTTAATGTCTTTAAATGAGGTTAAAAATAATGCCTGCCTCAGAGAGTAGTGCTGGTGGTTAAATGACATGATGTAAGCAAGGTGCTTAGTATGGTGCTTGGCATATGGTGAGTGTGAAATTAAAAACATAAAGTGTTGTTATCCCCATTTTTGCAGATGAGGAAGTTCAGGAGTAGAAGGGTTAAGTGACTTGACCAAGTCACATAGTAGGTGGTGGACAGTGGAGCCTGCATTTGAACTTTGGTTCCTCTCCAAAGCCATCTCTTTGAACCTCAGCACTGTACTGCCTCCCACAGGAATAATTCCTTCTTGGTGGGGTTGCTCTGAAGCTTAATGTCTGTTAAAATACTTAGCTCAGAGCCTGGCAGATGCTTAATAATGTTAGTTTTTGTTCTCTCTTCCCAAGAACACCAGACAACTTCCAGGGGTTTGAGAAACCGCTACTTCACTCTTACGAAAAAGCCCAGGGTTCTTACGGGTCACTGGAAAAATGCCTGCTGCTTCTAGGCAGGCTGCCATCCTAGCTATTTACGCGAGTGGGACTTGGTGGAATCCTTGCAGCTGTGGATTTCTTCCTCTTTCTATAGGGTAAAGGCCATGCCGCCCCCTGGGAAAGTTCCCCGAAAGGAAAACCTGGGGCTGCAGTGTGAGTGGGGGTCCTGCTCCTTTGTGTGCTCGGCCATGGAGGAGTTCTGTGAGCATGTCACTCAGCACCTGCAGCAGCACCTCCACGGCTCTGAGGAGGAGGAGGAGGAAGAGGAGGATGACCTGCTGGGTAAGGAAGCAGGAGTGGGGAAGGGGAAAACTGACTTCCTCTGCCAGAGCAGGAGGGCTCCCTGGGGTAACAGTAGTGGTTTATTTTCCTGATTGTGGTTTGTTGTTGCTGTTGTTTATAAGAACATTGTGGACGTGTAGAAAACTCAGTCAACAAGGATATAAGGGATGAATCTGTCATCCTAGCATTAAGAGGCAATTATTTAGCAGTACTTTAGTGAACATTATTTTTTGACCTCTTTCTGCATGTGTATACATATATAAGATATAGATAAGTATGATTTTATTTTTAAAAACAGCGAAAAAGGATCATTCTGTACAAGCTGTTGGAAGCCTGTGTTTTTCACTGTCTGGTAGTGTTACCCCAACTTTTTTTTAACTGCGACCCTGGTTAGGAATACACTTTCTATCATGACCTTGTACACAAAAGTTACAGAAAAAAATACTTGAAGCAATACTTATTACATGCTTTCTGAAATTTCGATTCTGTTCTCTTTTGTTAAAAAAATAATAATAATAATAGTGTTTTGCAGTCCACTAAATTGATTTCATCACCCACTAATGGGTCACAGTTTGAAAAACTCTGATCTATAGGAAGTAGAAAAGTAGCTCTCCTTCCCGCACTCTCAATTCTGTTTTAAGTCTAGTGAATATGAATTACAACAGTTTCAAAAGTCAAATAATATTTATACAAAAAAGAAATTAGGAAACGATTATATACTTTTTTAAGTACTTTTCAAAACAGGTATATTCCTGTAAAACATGGAAAATGTGGTGCTTAGAGAAGGCTGTGGGAGAGAAAAGAAGTGGATTAGAGTGGTCAGTGGGACCTTCCTGGGGAAGGCAGATCCTGAGTAGAATATGGATGAAAGGAGAACTGGTAGTTTCACAGGGAGGAGTGGGAAGTGTCCCAGATTGGGAAGCAGTGTCTTCCTTGGGGTGTAGTAGAAACTCTGAGCCAGAGGTAGTGCATGCCAGCCACACCTGCTGCCTCAGAGTTCCTGCCACTTGGCCTTTGCACACACAGCGTTACCTCTGTCCAGACCACACTCTCCTTCACCTAGTTTACCACTACTTATCCTTCAGGTCTCAAAGACACAGGGACAGTTTCCAACTTTGGTGAACATTCTTTTTGACCTCTCTCTGCGTGTGTGTGTGAGATCAGATTACCTCTTGTTTAATACTTCTATAGCTCCATGTACTCCCCCCACCTTGATAGCGTTGGATAGTTTTATATTTATAAATGTGATTATTTGATTAATGTTCTTTTTCCCTGAGTGAAAGCTATGTGAGGGCAAGAAATGGGCCTCTTTCTGTTCATTGTTACATCCCCAGTGCTTGGCACTTCCTTAAATACTGGTATTTGCTGAATGAAGTCCTAGTAATTTTGTCAGTGTCGGGCCTCTTTACTCCCTGCTAAGCGCCGCAGGTGGAGGGAAAGCTGAGGCTTGGAAAGTATCAAACTCTTCCTTCTTAATCTTTTTCTGCAGAGGAAGAATTCTCCTGCTTGTGGCAAGAATGTGGCTTTTGTTCTCTGGATAGTTCTGCTGACCTCATCCGCCATGTCTACTTCCACTGCTACCACACCAAGCTGAAACAGTGGGGGCTGCAGGCCTTGCAAAGCCAGGCTGACCTCAGCCCCTGCATCCTGGACTTCCAGAGCCGGAATGTCATCCCTGATATCCCTGACCACTTTCTGTGTCTGTGGGAGCATTGTGAGGTCAGCAGGCAGTGCCAGTAGTAGGGGTGGCAGTTGGGGATCTTAACTCAGGATGCCTGGACCCTTTCAGGGATGCCTTATATTCCCAAGAGTCCTGCTACTGCCTCTCCTCTATTTCTGTGTAGCCCCCTCCCTCAAACATTCCATCCCTACCAAGTTAATTTGGGAGAGAGCCAAGAAACCCTTTTGGACACATAGGGATAAGAGTCCCTCCAGCTACCCTCAGTCCTTACCCCAAGTTGCCCTGGCACAGAGCTCCTTCGACAATCCTGAGTGGTTCTATCGGCATGTGGAAGCACACAGCCTGTGCTGTGAATACCAAGCCGTTGGCAAGGATAACCACGTGGTGCTGTGCGGCTGGAAAGGTAGGGCCACTTCTTAACTTCTGGCCTCTGGAGGAAACCCTGGGGGTGCTAAGGTGCTAGGGCAGCCAGGGATGAGACCAGTTCTAAAGGGCAAAGTTGGCTGCTGGCTGGGGAGATTTGGGGGTACCAGAGCCTACTCTGGGGGTTTATAGCTGAAACCTGAGTGGGCCTTCCTTCCCAGAGTGTACCTGCACCTTCAAGGACCGCTGTAAGCTTCGAGAGCACCTCCGCAGCCATACCCAGGAGAAGGTGGTGGCCTGCCCTACATGTGGAGGCATGTTTGCCAACAACACGAAGTTCTTAGATCATATCCGTCGTCAGACCTCACTGGATCGTAAGTAATCAGAGGAGGGGCGTGGGTGCAGACTGTCCTGCTTGCAGTGGGGGTTGGGAACATGTTCCCAGGGGAGGCAGCCACAGAGGGTATCTGCCACTTGGCTGCATTTGCCTTTCGGGTCAGCCACCTCCCACAGTCTCTCTGCTGATTCCGATTCACTGAATGTTTTCATTCAGTATCTACTCTGTCCCGTATTATCTCAGTTAATCCTTACAACAGTCCCATGAAGTAGGTTTCTTATCCCCATTTTTGCAGATGAGGAAACTGAGGCTCAGAGAGGTTAAGTCACTTACCTGCGATCACACAGCTACTATGTGCTGAAGTGGGGATTCTAACTCAGGTTCTTGACTCCTAGTCCCATGCCCTTTCCATAATTCTGTGTCCATCCATAGCTCTCTGACTTCTGTTTTTCTCCCCGGGTGGTTCCCTTCTGCCTGGGATAGTTGCCCTCTCCCTGGCCCTCTCTTCTCCCTGTGCCTCTCCCCATCCCCCACAGCTCTCTTTCTTCTACCTGCCCCACCCCAGAGCAACGCTTCCAGTGCTCTCACTGTTCCAAGAGATTTGCCACAGAGCGGCTGTTGCGGGACCACATGCGTAATCACGGTGAGTGTCCTGCCGGCCCGGCCTCCCTGCCGACCCTCCATGGCCCACCAGCCCTCCAAGCACAGCTTTCTCTCTGCTCCTCAGTGAATCACTACAAGTGCCCTCTGTGTGACATGACCTGCCCTCTGCCTTCCTCCCTCCGCAACCATATGCGCTTTCGCCACAGTGAGGACCGGCCCTTTAAATGTGACTATTGTGACTACAGGTAAGGGGAACCAGAGGCCAGGAAACAGCTTGTGTCCCAAGGTCCCCCATGCCCTCCAACCCCTCCTGTCCTCTACTGGCAGCTGCAAGAACCTGATTGACCTTCGGAAGCACCTAGATACCCATAGCAAGGAGCCAGCCTACAGGTGTGATTTTGAGAACTGCAGCTTCAGTGCCCGATCCCTCTGCTCCATCAAGTCCCATTTCCGCAAAGTACATGAAGTGAGTGGGGCTGGGTGAAGAGGAAGGGCTAGCAGAAGTGTGGGGGAGCCCACGGTGAAGAGCTGGCCTCACCTCTCCCTCCTCTTCCCATCAGGGAGACTCAGAGCCAAGGTACAAATGTCACGTGTGTGACAAATGCTTCACACGGGGCAACAACCTCACTGTGCATCTTCGTAAGAAGCACCAGTTCAAATGGCCCTCAGGGCACCCCCGTTTTCGGTATGTGTCTCAGCCCTCTCCCCGTCACCCTCCCCCCAAATTCACACACATTTTCTCCTATACCTTTTCAACAAGTCAGAAACTTTAAATTTGATGGTGCTTTGATGTCTACCATCTCCCTTTAGACTCAACCCTAAGAATAATGCTGGGGCAAGGATTATTTTTCTGATTTTTGAACCCAAGGCGCTGATAGTAAATGGTGCTTTAAGTCCTGCTGTCAGAGCTAGAGGTAGAACTAGAACCTGATGGTTAGCTCCATGGCCTTTTCATAAATCCTTCGCTAATATCCCCACCCTCATAACACACTCTCCCTCTCACTTTGGGTTGGGTTTCTACATAAAATCTTCCCATTTTGATTAATGATCTTTCCCTCTTGCCTTTTCTTCTGCATATTCAATAAAAACCTTTTTTGTCTTCAACTCCCATGACTTAGAATCCCAGGACTTCTTCCATCTCTTGTCTTTGTCCCTTACCTTGCCAGTCTCCAGGCCATTTCAGCATCCCTCTGCCTGTGTTTACTGCACTTTATGCTCCTGCTTCACCAGGTACAAGGAGCATGAAGATGGCTACATGCGGCTGCAGCTGGTTCGCTATGAGAGCGTAGAGCTGACACAGCAGCTGTTACGGCAGCCACAAGATGGATCGGGCCTGGGAGCTTCACTGCATGAGAGCAGCCTGCAGGGCATCCTTCTAGAAACAGTGCCAGGGGATCCAGGACCTGAGGAAGAGGCTGAAGAGGAAGAAGAGGGTGGGGGTGGTGAGGGGACAGCCCTATCAGCCCCTCAGGACACCCCCAGCCCTGTCATCCATGTGGTGAATCAGACCAATGCCGAAGGTCAGCGAGAGATTGTCTACTATGTGCTGTCTGAAGCCCCAGGGGAGCCTCCCCCTCCCACTGAGCTACCCTCAGGGGGAATCATGGAAAAACTTGAGGGAACAGCTGAGGAGCCCAAGGTCCAGATGATGTGACCACTGCAGAGCCTGACCATTCCTACCTCAGGCCTCAAGGTTTGAGCCGGGTGGTGGCAGCATACCTAATGGGCAGCTCTTGGCAATGGATGCCTCAGAGTGGTGCTGGGAGCAGCATGCTTCCACTCTGGACCAGGCTCGAATCATTCTGCTGACTAAGGACTTCTGTTACTGCCAGACCATGTCTTGTGGGGATCCTGAGGAGTTTGGATTCTATTAGGGGGACGTCATGAATGTGTGTATTCTTGGTTAGGGGAGATATTATCAGGCTTAACTGTAAACCGCCTACACATGCTGGACAATAATTAAAATCCATAGTGAACCCACCTTCGTTCCCATCTTTAAGGGTTCTTAGGCCCAGGGGTGACCTGTAACTGTCCCCTACAAGGGCCGTTTCCTTGCAACCAGCCAAGGCATTGAGAACGAGACAGCCATTTCCTTCTTAAGGGTTCTTCCAACAACCCCAAGGACTTTCGTGGTTATCCTCAGGGACGGGATTGGAGGCACTGAGTATGTGTGTAGCAATTGTTTTTTGGTAATAAAAGAAACACTTGGGTTGTTACTCATTTCTTCTTCCTTATGTTTGGTGGCATTCAACTGGGTAGTGAGGAGATACAGCCACCCAGAAGTAGAGCTGAATAATTAGGCTTGTTCCCTTTTCAGTGACCAGGGTTTTTTGGTTTTGTTTTGAACTGTCTTCTTGATCCCTGCCCCTTTTTTGCTGACACTTCATGTCTTCTTGGAGCATCTGCCATCTCCACAGAGGTCCCAGGCATTTGGCCATGTGTGGACAGTAACAACACTGTAGAATGGTCAAGAGTGGGCCTCATCGAAGAAGACAGAGCAGCTGACCATGGCCACACCCTCTGAGTAGCAAAGTAGGGGACAGGATCCTGATTAGAACTCTGCCTTTAGGGTCAGGGTACTTTACCTGTGGGGCCGTGGGCTGAGAAGGAAGCTGGGGTGGAGGGTGGGTTTGAGGACTCTCCGTGACAAGAGAAGCCTCTGTCCTCATCTATCTGATAGCCTGTTTGGACAAAGAGGGACTGGCTGTACTCATTTGGTGGAGGGACAGGGCATGGGTGGTGAAATTAGTGCAAGATCCCAGGGAAGTGAGCCTGGGAATGAGTGGCTCTACTTACAGAAAAATTTTAATTCATGTTTCCTGTCTCCTCCGTATCACCATCTCTCTCTGTTTTTTAAAAATTTTATTTATTTTATTGTTGAGAACATATCGCTGTCTAGGGGCCCTTATAGAAGCAAAGCATTAACATAACCTTAAAGCCCTCATTATTTCTTGCCTGAATTCTTACAGCAGCTTCCTAACTTGTTTCTGCTTGCAGTCTATCACTCTTCCAATTTATATTCCCTATCATTAGCAGAATTCTAAAACACAAGTCAGAACCTTATATGGTCTGGTTGTGCGGCCCTGCCCTCCTTCCCAGTCTGGTTTCCATGGCCTACTACCCTCTGCTGCAGACCAAAAAGTACCATACCTCTTTATGTTTGTTTAGAGACCAAGTTTTCTCTGCCTGGAATGATGTGCTCACCCATTTGTAGACATAGCAGACACGTCCTTGTTTAAAATATCAGCTGTAGTCACTTCCTTGATGAAACCTTTCCTGATCCCTTTCCTGAGTAATATCATCTACTCTTATTCTGAGCTTCCTAAAAATACCCTAATGGGCTTCTGTCATTACACTCAATCTTTCCTCCCCTCTGTACTTTAGGTCCCTCAAAGGCAGGTCCTGGGTTTTATGCATCTATGTTCTTAGCACCTGTCACGATGTCTGGGTTACAGTAGCAGTGCAGTAAGTGACTGACAGAATTAAGGAAGAGATTTTTCTTTCCTAATTCTTTCTGCAATAGGCACATACTGTTTTTATAAGACTTAAATTAGGTCCTTTTAAAACAGCTCAGAAATCCTTTTTTGGGAGCTTCCTGCCCAACCACGACCCCTGAGAGGATTTCCTTTACCCTTCCAGAGTGGCAGAGACCCTAAGAATTGACACAGGGAGCTGAGAAATGGGACAGACATAAAATGTTTCTTTGATTTTGGGGCTTTCAGCCTCTTCAAGATCTAATAAAAATTAGACACTTTCCCCAGGAAAATGCACATTCAGACACATGGTTTTCTAGCTTGGTTCTTGGACTACCTGAGTACCTGCCATTCCCTAGGAGGCCTCACAGTCCACCCCCTATAAATTTGATAACTTAGATGAAATGAACCAATCCTTGAAAGACAAACTACCAAAACTCACACAAGGAGAAATCTGAATAAGCCTATATCTATTAAATTGAATCAATAACAACATTCCAAAAAAAAGCACCAGTCCCACATAGTTTCACTGGTGAATTCTACCAAACATTTAAAGGAAGAAATGATGCCAATTTTCTGTAATCTCTTCCAGAAAATATAAGCTGAGGGAACACTTCTTAACTTATTCTATGAGGCCAGCATTACCCTAATTCCAAAATCAAAGACAAAGGAAAACTACAGACCGATATCTCTGATGAACATAGATGCAAAAATCCTCAAAAAAATAGTAGCAAATTGAATCCAACAATGTGTAAAAGGAATCACAGCACAACCAAGTGGATTTACTCCAGATAGGCAAAGCTGGTTCAGCATTCAAAAATTAATCCATCACATCAACAGCTAAAAAAGAAAAATATGATTATATTAGTAAATGCAGAAAAAGCATTTGACAAAATCCAACTCTCATTTATGATAAAAACATCAAACCAGGAAGACGGGAACTTCTCAATAAAGAACATCTACAAAAAACCTACAGCTAACATACTTAGTGGTGAGAAACTGAATGCTTTATCCCTAAGACCGGGAACAAGGCAAGGTTGTCTTTTTCCACCACTCTTATTAAACACTGTACTGGAAGTCCTAGCTAGTGCCATAAGACAAGAATAGGTATTACAAATTGGGAAGGAAGAAATAAAGCTGTCTTTGTTAATGACATGATTATCGATGTAGAAAGTCCCAAAGAATCAACAAGAAATCTGGAACTAATGATTATAGCAAGGTCACAGGATAAGGTTAACATACAAAAGTCAATTGCTTTCTTATATAACAGCAATGGACAATTGAGCTTTGAAATTAAAAACAATACTATTTACATCGTTGTTAGGTGCCATCGAGTAGGTTCTGACTCATAGCAACCCTATAGGATAGAGTAGAACTGTCCCCAGAGGGTTTCCAAGGAGCGGCTGGTGGATTTGAACCGCTGACCCTTTGGTTAGCAGCCAAGCTCTTAACCACTGCGCCACCAGGGCTCTACTATTTACATTAGCACCAAAACATGAAATATTTAGGCATAAATCTAACAAAATGTACAGGATTTATATGAGGAAAACTACAAAACTGATGAAAGAAATCAATATTGTTAAAATGTCAATTCTTTCCAACTTAATGTATACAGTCAATGCAATCCCAATCAAAACCCCAGCAAATTATTTTGTGGATATCAACAAACTGAGTCTAAAGTTTACGTGGAAAGGCAAAAGACCCAGAATAAACCAGCACAATACTGAAGAACAAAGTTGGAGGACTGACATTACCTGAATTTAAGACTATAAAGCTACAGTAATCAAGACAGGGAAGTATTGGCAAAAGAATAGACAAATCAATGAATGGACCAGCATAGAAAGCCCATAAGTAGACCCATACAAATACAGTCAATTGAACTTTGACAAAGGAGCAAATGCAATTCAAAGGAGGAAGGACAGTGTTTTCAACAAGTGACGCTGAAACAATTGGACATCCATATGCAAAAAATGAATCTATGGACAGTCCTTGAGCCCTGGTGGTGCAGTTGTTAAGAGCTTGGCTGCGAACCAAAAAGGTCGGCAGTTCATATCCACCAACTACTCCTTGGAGACCCTATGGGGGCAGTTATACTCTGTCTTATAGTGTCGCTATGAGTTGAATCAACTTGACAGCAATGGGTACAGAATATACAGTCCTTATACCTTTCACAAAAATTAACTCAAGATGGATCTTAGACCTAAATGTAAACACAAAGCTATAAAACTTGTAGAAGACAACACAGGAGAAAATCTAGGTGACCTTGGGTTTGGCAATGAGTCTTTAGATACAACACCAAAAACAGTCATGAAAGAAAAAATGAGTAAGTTGGACTTTATTAAAATTAAAAATGCCAACTCTGTGAAAGACACTATTAAGAGAATGAAGAGACAAGCCACGGACTAGGAGAAAATATTTGCAAAAACATATAAAGGACTTGTATACAAAATATAAAAAGAACTCTTAAAATTCAACAATAAGAGCAACCTAACTGAAAAATGCTTAAAAGATCTGGACACCTCACCAAAGAAGGTATATAGATAGCAAATAAACATACAAAAAGATGCTTGACATTATATGTCATTCCAAACCAAACCAAACCTGTTGCCATCAAGTAGATTCCGACTCATAGCAATCCTGTAGGACAGAATAGGGCCGTCCCACAGGGTTTCCAAGGCTGTGATCTTTACAGAAGTAGACTGCCACATCTTTCTCTCTTGGAGTGTCTGGTGGGCTCAAACTGCCGACCTTTCAGTTAGCAGCCAAGTCTTTAACCATTGTGCTACCAGTGCTCCTTAGATGTCATTAGGGAATTACAAATTAAAACAAGAATGAGATGCCACTATATGCCTATTAGAATGGCTAAAAAAAAAAAAAAGAAAAAAAGCAAAACTGACAATACCAAATGCTAGTGAGAATGCAGAGCAACAGGAGAGCTCATTCATTGCTGGGGGGGAGGGGAATTGCAAAATGGTACAGTCACTTTATGAGATAGTTTGGCAATTTCTTAGAAAGCTAAACATAGTCTTACCATATGATCCAGAAATCATGCTCCTGGGTTACCTGTTACGGATTGAATTTTGTGCCCAAATATGTGTTGTAAATCCTAACCTCTATGCCTGTGGTTATAATCTCATTTGGAAATGGGTTGTCTTTGGTATGTTAATGGGGCAGGATTAGTGTACAGTGTATCTTGAGTCAATCTCTTTTGAGATACAGAAGAGATTAAACAAACGAGCAGAGGAGAGATGGGGGAAGAGAGATGCCAAACCACATGAAGATGGCCTTGGAGCAGAAGCTCAAAGAGACAAGGACCTTCCTCCAGAGCTGACAGAGAGAGAAAGGCTTCCCCTAGAGTTAGCACCCTTAATTTGGACTTCCAGCCTCCTACACTGTGAGAAGATAAATTTCTGTTTGTTAAAGCCGTCTACTTGTGGTATTTTTGTTATAGCAGCATTGGATAATTAAGGTATTACCCAAATGAACTGAAAACTTGTGCACACACAAAAACCTGCACACGAATGTTTATAGTAGATATATTAATAATTACCAAAAGCTGGGTGCAACCAGTATGTCCTTCAATAGGTGGATGGATAAAAATAAATGAACTATTTAAGCCGCAAAAAGATATGGAGGAATTTTAAATGCATATTGCTAAGTGAAAGAAGCCAGTCATGTGACATACGAAGACGCTACATGTTGTATGATTCCAACTATAAGACATTATGGAAAAAGC